TTTGACCCTCAAAATATAGGAGGTAGCTGCAATCTGGGAAATATGGTTCCCATAATTTGGTCTAGGAAGAGGTTCAAAGTTTGAATCCCTTAATGTTAATTTCAGTTTTTGAGAGTTTTATCAGATCTTGAAAACTTTTTAAGCTAATTGAAATATTTTTCTCATACAATTATACAACTCGTTTACCCAAATATAATTCTATGAAAAAAAAAGCTTTTGCTAAATATTTATTATTTTTGATTATTTAATTTTATAATAAACGTTTGCACTTATTATTTAGCATATTTAAGGTTATTCCCTCAAATCATTAAGATTGAACGTGAAGATCCAATCATTACATCAAAAGCTATTGAAGGTGGTCCGTTTTTTAATTTTGCGCACTGTACACGTTAAAGGCTTTTCACTTTTACTAAAAATATCTCAAAAAGCACTTCACAGCTGTTATTAAGGTCTGACATTGGATTGAATGAATATATTTAAATAGAGAAAAAACAAGAATTTTCTCTTCACTAAACTTAAACAACAATATTTATTTCAAATTGCATAAATAGATAGTGTTGTAAGCTAAAAGCTGACAAAAAATTCTAACAAAATAATAATTAATAATAATAATAAATTCTAGTAAAAACGCCAATTATTGCAATCATTGTAAAAATATATATAATCTATACATATTTTTAGCATTAATTTCAAAAATAATATCATAATTGCGTCAAAATTATATATCTATAAAGGAAAATAATAAAACAATACAAAAACTTGATAAATCATAAAATGGGTAGACCTGATTAAAAAAACAACAACACATATTTAATTGTTGGGGGAAACTGAGCTGTAAAATATGGATACTCCAATATCACGAATCTTTCTCAGTTTTTGTCGAAATCGTTTCCTGATATATCTCCGAATGAAAAATTTGGTCAAAGTGATGAAATAACTAGTCACTTCCTCAAAGAAACGAATTTTGTCAAAATTAAAGAAATATTTCGTCATTCTATTTCCCCCCCCCAACCCCCCCAAAAAAACCTTCAAAGTGTATTATGTAGTTACATTTTGAAATAACCACTTTATCATAGGTATTATATAGGTGGTATAGTAAGAATAAATATATCAGAGATTTAAATTATTCCCATGCCTGAAGCGGGTTTCGGACCTGGGATTTTCATGGCATGAGGCGAACGCCTTGACCACCATACAGTCGACCAGCTAACTTTCGTTTAACTTATTTTCACTTCATTTTCGATTATCTAGTCTTCAGTCTAGTTTCATCATTCTAGTTAACAATCTTCTACAATACATAACGACGGTGGGCCGGGATAGTCTGGTTGATAGAGCCCGTATCCAAGAGTGCGTGGGTTCGATTCCCGCCGGCCGAAGACTCCCCGTGTAGTAAATGGTGACTGATGCACGTTAAATCTGTCGAGTAGCAAAGTCCTCCATGTTCCCAAAACCAATCAATACCCATGGGGGTACTTATCCAGGAGTTTCCTTGTTTCCAGGATTGGTTCAAAATTACAAGGCTACGGAGTTGAACATTAGTAGTCGTAAACCCAAATAGTTGGGTCGGCTGTTCAACGATGGATATAAAATAAAAAACATAACGATGAGGTTTTGTGTTGAGGAAACATTTTCGTCATATATTTGGAAGTTTGCGTTTTGTCACTTATCACGTGATTTTGTGATAAAACGATTCTCAAAATTAACGAAATACTGCTCAAGAATAGCTAAAATAGTCAAAAGTGAGAGTTTCTTATCTGAGAGTGTGCAAAGCGACAATTAGAGTCACATTTAAATTTTATTAGACATTTGGATTTTTAACATCAAATGATTCATTTGATTTTGATAATATTTTAAATTTAAATATTAATTTCTGACATTTACTAAAATACAGTATGGAAGAGTTATACACAGTTTAAGCATGAATGAGTAGACACAGTTTTTAAATATTGATAAAAACTGTAAAGGCGTAATTAAAAGAAAGTTGTTTATAAAGCGTGAAGCAATTGAACGATTGGAAAGTATGATTAAAAGATTGAAAAGTATGAAACGATTTATCGTAAATTATTTAAAATTTATTTTTCATGTTAAATGTTTTCTTTATCCATGACACTCGTAAAATTTATTTTTTAAAAAACTGTAAAAATTTCTGTCAAAAAATCTGTCACCAGAAAAAAACTGACAGATAGAGTGTCACTTATAAAATGGTTTATTTCATACTGTCAATACTGTCATTTAAAAACTGGTGATTGTTTTTTATGCAGATAAGTGCTGTTATTTCAACAAACTCTGTTATTTTAACAAAAATACTCTATAAAATAACAATGTCAGCACTGTAGTTGGTGCGAGACGAGAACAGAATTCGTATGACCAGTTATTCGAACCCGGGTGGCCTCATTGGGAGGTGAGCTGTCTTTTCCCTGAGCCACAACAGCTTTAGTGTTAGATCATGAAGAAAAATATTTTTTTCTTTATTTCAAAAGTCTTATTTATTGAGCTCATATTTAAGAGAAAATATGTTTAAAATTACAGTAGCCCACCCTGATAAAAACGACTGGCAATTTAACTTACGAAACATCGCATCTGAAGACAGATAATAATCAGCTAGAGTATCGATTGAAGTTGAATCGCAATTTTATTTATATGATGTTTAAAACCATAAAATGTTTTTTAAAAAGTAAGAGCAAGTGAAGAAAGTAATCATAAAATGATTTGAAAAAATATTGAAATTTTCCGACGATGAGCAAAACTGCATGGCAAAAACTAGAATTTGAATTGACAGTTTTAATCCGTTTAAGGATTAGGGTGTAAAAAATAGAAAAGAACTGTTTTGTAAAAGACAGCGTCAAATATACGAAAAAGAATTTAAAAAAAAAGGAATTTTTTGCAGCACGATGGTAACGATATAAAACAGAAAAAATATGAATTTATCTCTGAACAATTTTTTTTGTAAGAAATATGCTTTTCTTTGTAGAACTTACAGTTATTTTTACAGTGTGACTAGAAATAAAGAAAAATATGCACGCATTTTTGATAGTTATTTAAGCAAAACGCATATGTAAAAAAATAAATAAATAAATTTCTTCAATAGCAGAAAGAAGAATAATGATTATTTAGAATAAACTTTAGATAAAAATTAAGTAAGCAGTTTCTTTGCTATAAACTAACCCTTAATTAGACTAAGTATGAAGATTTAACTAAAAGGAAACGGTCATGGCACAATTGCAAAAGTTAAGAAGAAAACAATGCGTTCATCAGACTGTTCTTTCCACATTTCAATGAAATTAAATGTTTTTCATTATTATTACTCTTATTGAAAGTTAAAGTTTTTAAAAGAAATTATTTACGATTTTTTAGTTAATCAGTTATTTGAAACATAAAATAGCAACGTATTTAAAATAATTGGTACAATCCTAGAACACGAAACATATAGGCAACTTTGGGATACTTCACGAAGCTGGCGATTATTACTGGGATCAATGATACTTTTTGATTATTAAAAATGAAATAATGACGGCAATAAATGAAATAACGGTTAAAAAATGAGATAATAACGATGATTTTAACAGCAAGAGATAAGAAGCGAAAAAATAAACCCTTTTACATCTTTTCTAACGAAATCCAACTGTCGCGTAAGTATACATATCAAATAACCAATCAGGTTTAACAATTTTGGTAATGCGATCGGACGTTCAAAATAATCTCCCCGAAATATCTTCCGGAAACCTAGTTTGGAGTGATTTCAAAAACTTGCTTGGCGAGATTTAAAAAAAAAGGCCACAGGTGGGCTGTTCTAGGATCCACTTAAATAGTTTAACTGGAAATAGTGACAGTAACATCTATAACTACTTTCATTTCTATGTAAGTAATTTATTGAAATTTGTATTTAATAATTGGGTACATATGTTATTAATTTAAATAGCTTTAAGTGGTTTTAGAAGTGAAATTTCCTCTTCAATTTTTTAACGGGGATATTGGAATTTTTTTTTTTAGAATTTATAAAAATATAAATGAATTTCAACACTGAGATTAAAATGATGGAACTAAAATTGTAAGCATTTTGTTCAAAATAAGACGAGAATAGAAATATTTTGTGTTTCTATTCTACAAGACTTGAAAAAAAGGTAAATTAATTTTCTAAAATGCATACGTCATACAAGTATTAAAGAAGAAAAATGAATATATCATAGAAGTATTAAAGAAGTAGAAAAGTATTTCTAGATGACAATTCTTAAAGTAACAAAATAAAAATTTTTAAAGCGAACAATTAATTTAGTGATACATTTTCATAATCGTTTACCCGTTTAAAATTATTAAACATTCTTTATAGAATTAAAAAGGAATTCGCGATCGCAGTGCTCGAGTAACTCCTCTAGGGGATAGGTTATTTTCAGGCTTTTATTGATCATGCTTACTTATACTTTTTCATATTTTAATGTTTTTTATTTTATTTTTATAACAGTCGTTGAACAGCCGACCCAATTTCATGGGTTTACGACTACTAATGTTCAACTCCGCAGCCTTGTAATTTTGAACCAATCCAGAAGACAAGGAAACTCCTGGATCAGTACCCCCAGAGGTTTTGATTTGTTATGGGAACATGGAGGAGGACTTTGAGACTCAACAGATTTAACGTGCACCAGTCACCATTTACTACACGGGGAGTCTTCGGCCGGCGAGGATCGAACCCACGACCTCTTGGACATGGGCCCAGCACCCTACCGACCAGGCTATCCCGGCCTCATATTTTAATGTTTGAAGTAATATGATTCATAAAACTATGGAATGTAAAGTTTTATGAATCATATTACTTTCATGTTATATCATTAAATTTATGTTATATCATTACATAAATTTAATGATATAACATAGCCTTTCATGTTATATCATTAAATTTAGTAAAATGATTTCGCAGGCATTACGTTTTAACTCTAATAAGAAGAAACTTATATTTTTTCTCTGTTTATTTACAAATATTTTTCCGATATGTTTATTTTATGATGCTATNCAGGCAGGCAGGCAGGCAGGCAGGCAGGCAGGCAGGCAGGCAGGCAGGCAGGCAGGCAGGCAGGCAGGCAGGCAGGCAGGCAGGCAGGCAGGCAGGCAGGCAGGCAGGCAGGCAGGCAGGCAGGCAGGCAGGCAGGCAGGCAGGCAGGCAGGCAGGCAGGCAGGCAGGCAGGCAGGCAGGCAGGCAGGCAGGCAGGCAGGCAGGCAGGCAGGCAGGCAGGCAGGCAGGCAGGCAGGCAGGCAGGCAGGCAGGCAGGCAGGCAGGCAGGCAGGCAGGCAGGCAGGCAGGCAGGCAGGCAGGCAGGCAGGCAGGCAGGCAGGCAGGCAGGCAGGCAGGCAGGCAGGCAGGCAGGCAGGCAGGCAGGCAGGCAGGCAGGCAGGCAGGCAGGCAGGCAGGCAGGCAGGCAGGCAGGCAGGCAGGCAGGCAGGCAGGCAGGCAGGCAGGCAGGCAGGCAGGCAGGCAGGCAGGCAGGCAGGCAGGCAGGCAGGCAGGCAGGCATTCACTTTTATATATATAGATAATTGGGTACATATGTTATTAATTTAAATAGCTTTAAGTGGTTTCAGAAGTGAAATTTCCTCTTCAATTTTTTAACGGGGATATTGGAATTTTTTTTCTTTTAGCATTTATAACAATATAAATGAATTTCAACACTGAGATTAAAATGATTGAACTAAAATTGTAAGCATTTTATTCAAAATAAGACGAGAATACAAATAATTTGTGTTTCTATCCTACAAGACTTGAAAAAAAGGTAAATTAATTTTCTAAAATGCATAGGTTATACAAGTATTTAAGAAGAAAAATGAATAAATCATATAAGTATTAAGGAAGTAGAAAAGTATTTCTCGAAGACAATTTTTAAAGCAAACAATTCATTTAGTGATGCATTTTCATAATCGTTTTAACGTTTAAAATTATTAAACATTCTTTATAGAATTAAAAGGGAATTCGCGATCGCAGAGCTCGAGCACCCCCTCTAGGGGATAGGTTATTTTCAGACTTTTATAGATCATGCTTACTTATACTTTTTCATATTTTAATGTTTGAAGTAATATGATTCATGAAACTATGGAATGTAAAGTTTAAATAGGCCTTTCGTGCTATATCATTAAATTTAGTAAAACGATTTCGGTTTTAACTCTAATACGATACATATTTTTTCTGTTTATTTACAAATATTTTCCGTGTTTAGGATCTTCCTTTTCTAAAAAAAAGAAAAGAGATACCATTTTGTTTTCACTTGCATAAGAAAGAATATCAAAAATTTTTCTTTTTTAAATTTAATAAACCACAATAAAGAAGGAACGCTACAATACTCTACATTTAAGACGTCTCCAGAGCGACTGAATGACTGTGCATATAGAAATCGCAGGTGCTCGTCTCATACAATAACGCCCCCTATAGTTCGCTGCGATCGCTAATTACAAATAAGTCTACAGATGTTGAATTCGTTTTATTTACTACTAGTTTTATGGTGTTCAAGTTTTATGCACACAATGGAAAATGCTAATTTTATTATTATATACAAAATATAAATATTTCATATAAATATTAAAAAAATTAAAAAGCATTTCTCCAAAACATTTTTAAAAGTAAGCAAAAAAAGAAACAATTTTTAAAGCAAACGATTTCTTTAGTGGTGGATTTTCATAATCGTTTTCAAATTTTAAATTTTTTTGTAAAATTAAACAAGAAGTTACAAATAATTTATTGATACTGATTGATAGTTGTTCTTTCAAACCATTTTCTTTAGAAAAATATAAACGCAGAGTTTTCCTATACTTTTAATAGGAGGCAGCAGTTTTAAAATACGATACATCTTTTAAATAATTTCATTACCTTATATAACACTACTAATGTTTCTTCTTGAAACATTTCAAGATTTAAAAGCGAACATAATGTATTTGAATTAGTTAAGAATAATATTTCGCTTGGGAACATATTTTTATAAACTAATAAAATTTTCAATTCATTTATGTAAGTCTTTTCAAATATTCTGTTTGAACATCTAATACGGGAAACAAAGTATATATTTGTATTTCACAATTAAATTAAAGTTTCTGATGTGGTATTGTCGAGAGTTCTCTTTGAAAAATTTGCTTTTACATGTGAATGTAGTTATTTTTACTATATAAAATTATATTAAAAGTGACAAAAAAGAACAATAAACCAGCATCTAAATACATTTATTTTGATAGTAAAGTTTTTTAAGTATTTCAAAGTGCTGTTTTACATTTAAAATAATACGATTTGTTGCTTGGTAACCATTTTGCTTAGTTTAATAGAATTCAATATATAAAATAATTTTCAGCATTTTAATATCAAGAGTGTTTTTTTCCAGCAATTTATTATCGAGAGTGCTGTTTCAAAACTATTTCTGTTTGAGTATCTAATATAGAAAATAAATGATATATTTGTATTTTACAATTAAATTAAAGCTACTGATATCATACTATTGAGAGCGGTTTTTGAAATATTTGCTATTATATGTGAATTTGAATGTTATTATTTCTATTACATGAAATTAGATAAAAAGTGGCAAAAAACAACAACCAACCCGCATCTAAGCATTATTATTTTGATAGGGAAGATTGCTAAGTGCTGTTCTACTTTTAAAAGGATACGCTTTGATGCTTGACAACCGATTTGCCTAGTTTAATAAAATTCAAAAGATAAAATAATTAATAAAATAATAAAATTCAAAAGATAAAATAATTAATAAAATAATAAAATTAAAAACATTAAATATCAAGAGTATTTAAAAATAATTATTAATGTGTTTACTGAACTTGCAAAATATTTGAGTGGCAACGTGTGGTTAAAACAAATGTCGTAAAAATTGTTGGCTGGATCCTAGAATAGCCCACCCCGCAGCGATTTTTTTAAATCTCGCCAAACTAGGTTTCCGGAAGATATTTCGGGGAGATTATTTTGGACGTTCGATCACACCACTGAAATTCTTAAGGCTGATTAAATATTATTTGATATGTATAACCAATGCGAAAGTTAGATTTCGTTAGAAAAGGGGTAAGAGGGTTTATTTTCTCGCTATTTATGCTTCTGATTTCTTGCTGTTAGTATCATCGTTATTATTTCCTTTTTTAACTGTTATTTCATTTATTACCATTTCATTTTTGTTAAAATTTTTAATAATTTATATTAAGAAATAATTTAATAAATTTGTAATAATTTAAATTGTTTATTTTTTAATAATCAAGAAGCAACGTTGATCCCAGTAATAATCGCCAACTTGGCGAGATTTCAAATAGTCGCCAAGTGGTGGGTTATTCTTGGCTTTAATCAAATTGTTCTATAAAAAGTAAAAAGCAATACCTTAAAAAGTAAAACCTAAAATCATTTCTGTGTATGTTTATATGTATATTTTGTGTTGTATTAAATGTGTTTTCATTGTCAATGAATCTAGATTTGATTTGTCCGTAAATTACTGCAAAAGACAGGTCATGGAAGCCAGCAATGGTTCCATAAAATTGAAGATTAATAAATCAAAGAAAAAATATATGACACAGGTAAGTTGTTATTGAATTAATATTGAGAAGTTAAAAGATCTTAATAATTTTGCATTATGGAAGTTTCAAGTAACAATTTACTTAAAAGTAAATTGGTTGTACGATATTGTAACTACCAAGTAAACAAAATGGAGCAAAAACAGCGGATGTCGAAATTACGTGGAACAAAAATTATGATTAATAACAACAGATCATAGTTTTTACAATAGATATAAAGGTGATGATGCTTATTTTAACGTGTAATAGTGCTTATGATGTGTTTACAAAATTATGCAGTGTTTTTGAAAGAGATTCGGAAAGAGATGTCTGTATTTACAAAAACAAAACACGTAAAAGGCTATTACAAAATTATACGGGTAAATAAAAAGTATGCTCTTAATAAAATATTGTTTCTTTCTTAGTTATAGTTAAATTTGAATTTATATAGTGTATATTACAATAAATTTGTGCTAAAATAAATCCTGTAATTTTTAATTAAATTATCTTATTCCAATAATAAAAGTTTTGAATTTTACAATAATAAATTGTAAGTATGGTAAAAAAAATCCCGTTATATTTAAAAAAAAATTTAGCAAAGAAATTGGAAATTTTTTTTTCCTTCATAAAAGTGACGATATTCCTGATATGCAATGTGTAGATGAATGAAAGCGATGATCCCATAATGCAATATAAAAGAATTTTATGACAATAAAATTCTGAAACATTGTAGTATAGACATGTCAGACATTATTTATTATGTATTTTTTAGCCTAAATTTAATAAAAATAGAACTGATTTGATAGATCTAATAGTTTTTATGTTATAAATATTTTATGAGTAAAAGGTACACTAGCGCGCAAAAGTCTTTGGTCCAACTTAATATTATAGATGGTTGATTGGAAATCTAATAAAAAATAATATATAAGTTTATTCCTAAACATTCTTAATATGCTTATCAACCAGAAATCAAATTTAACGCTCTGAAAGTCATTTTAAATCAAATGCAATTTTCATATCAGTTGGGTATTTGTTTTTCGTGAAGTGATTTTCTTACATCTAAGAATTAGATGAAAATACAATTGAACGATACAATTTTAACAAATAAGCATAAGTTTTGCATATTTGTTTACGGAAATCATGATTTTTAACTTTAATTTAATATTGACATTAATTTTTGAAGATTTAGTTCGTACATGATTTGAATAAAAAAAAAAGAAATATTCAACTAAACAGAGTGCAAAGATTTAAATTTAATCCAAAGAAGATTACATTTCCCATAAAATTGCAAGAAAAGTAAAAATTATGAAATCAAGTGTAATACTTGTATATATGTTGGCTTGACTAAATAAAACGGAAATCATCTCTACAAAAAAAAAAAAAAAAAGCGCATAGAAAGGTTAAAATGCCTTTCACGCGTTGACCAAAAACTTTTGCACGCTAGTGTAGGTCAAAAATTGTATATTTCATATATTAAACCCTCATTTCTTCTAAGGAATTACTTCAAAGGACTATTTTATTGGATTAAGCATCAAAAATTAAATTTGAAGAAATGCGTTACTTGTGTAGATAGCAATGTCAGTTGCATAAAGTGGTATAAGTCAAAGAATTGTACTTTCTTCACATTAAACTTTTTTAAATTTTTGAATAGCTAAACTATTTAATTAGACAGCTTGGTTTTATTTTCTTTCAATTAAGCGTATACATGGGTAATAATACTTCACTTGCCTAGATAGCAATGTTGGATAGTAAATATGTATAAGTTAACTATACTTTTATACATAAAACATAAGCAACTTCTATAACATTAATCACTCGATTCAACGTAAAAAAATCGTAAAAATTCTACAGGGTATTTAAGTCCATCCCCCTTTTACCCCTTATCCTTTCAGAGATGCAACATGAAATTCAATGATACCTTAATATCATTTTGTATTACGAGGTTGAAATCATAATCCTCTTTATACTATGCTACTTCACTAATGTGGAAATG